TGGGAATTTACGTAAGGCGAGAATTGTTCTCCTAAAATTGCATTCATTATTTAAAATCACGCGAATTATGTTCATATTTTTAAATAAAATAATTTTTTTATAATGACAATTCATGAAAAATTTTTTTCTGATAGGGCTATATATGGCCTCATATTCCCATATATCATTTTTTTAATAAATCTTAATGTAAAACTTGGCCATATCAGGACATACGGCCATATCAAACTCGAAATGGTCATATATGTCCTCGTATAACGCTGTATGGCTTTATCTACACATATATAATTTTTATATGGCATCATATGGCCTAAATTATTAAGATAATGGCATATCAAGCCATACATTGCCTTATAAAAAATTATATATACATATATCTGGCCATATAACATCATATAAAGACATATATGGCTTCATATGGTCATATATGGTCTAAATTATGAAGATAATGGCATAAAAGACCATAAATTACTATATAAAAAAATTGTATATGCATATATCTGGCCATATAAAAATATATATGGCATCATATGGCCATATATGGCCTAAATTATTAAGATATTAGTATAAAAGGTCATGTATTATCATATAAGAAATTATATATGCATATATTATTTGGCCATACAAAGACATGTATGGCATCATATGGCCATATATGGCTCAAATTATTACGATAATGGTATAAAAGACCATATAATAGCATATAAAAACTATATATGCATATGTTTGGCCATATAGTGTTATATAAAGGCATACATGGCCATATTTGGCCATATCAGAAAATTTTTTTCACAGTACCCTCGTTATTCATTTAACAAAAATCATATATGATAAAAATAAATAAATAAATATGTGTAACATGATGGCGGCACTTGAGTTTGAGTATTACCACAAGTTATAAGTAATATTAACTATAATTTGACAGTCCTAAGGCGATCTTAAATAAAAATAAGTGAAATATTGTATACATGTGTAGAAATAAAAGGCATGCATATTTTTGAGTATCGACAGAGTATACTTTCCCATGTTAACATTCCCCGTTCTCAATTTACATATGCTATATATATATTTATGGATACCAAATGTCATTTTTTCATCGACGAGCCCGCGGGCATATTTTTTTCACGACACATACTCGACTCAATTTCGAAGCAATTAACATTTAGTTATCTGAATTAATAAGTTTTTTATAATTATAATTATAATTTATTATAATCAACCTGGTCTGTTACCTGTTTGATGGTTATTATAATTTCTCGATGAAAAAAAAATTGTCTTTTGTCGGGACGGAAAATTGTCAATCATTATATACATAATTTTTATATTTACCGTAACAAGTAATCAGACATCGATTACTATTTCTGTTCTTTCGTGTCGCAAAGGAATTTAAAGGTTAGCAATTTACTTGTCATTAGCGACTTTTATGTCGATTTAGAATAATTTAGTACTTGGAAAAAAATTTATTTTATTGAAGAAAAAAATTATTTTTTTTTCGTTGAAATTAAAAAAGAATTTTTGTTTTTTATTTAATATTTTTCAGTGGAAATGTCAAATAATAATAATAATTATTTTTTTGGTCGATTAAAAAAATTTACTTGACAGTGACGTTTACCAAACAAGTTTAAATAGCCTGCAGAAAAGATTCAGATCCTGATTCTGATCAACTCACAATTTTTTGATCATGGCTCACCGTTTTTGTTTACATAAAAAATGACATTAATTTATGACAAATAATTGATAAAAATTGAAACATAAACCGAGCGATAATAAATTATCCCAAGATAAAATTTTTCTAAATTACTGTAAAATATCATCGAGAAATTTAGATATATTTATATAAGTCACAATTATTAGTAATAACTAAATGGCTACCACACAAAAAAAAAAAACTAAATTTCCTTGACTTAAAATCTTGGATCACACGATTATTGAGAGACTATCCGGCTATTTTCCAGCGTGTATTCCCTGAGTTAATGCTGTACTGTATTAATACTGATACGAGCAGAGGAGTCATACACGTGAGAACCGGTTTTACATACTTTTAATTTCACGGTAACGTCGCCAGCAATTCAGTTTACATGGATACTCCCCATTTTCTACGCGAGTATCCTCCACTTATATCCTCCGCGTTTCGAGCTTAAGTCCCCGATGTAGATTGCAGATAAGGGATAAGACTGAGGACCTAAGGACTCAGATACAGCGCTCCAGTACCAGAATAAAAATAACAATAAAAATGATAAATAATAAATAATAATAAGAGACATTTATAATCGCCGGTCACCTTCGACTCGCTCTTCCGAGTATCCCCGCAAGAAATTTTCACGCACGCAATCAACTTGCTTATATTTATATTTATATTTATATTTACCAGTAGATTATTATTTATATACTTTCTCTAACATATCAAGCTCTGTACCAGGATATTTATGAATTTAACATCTAAATGTTTACTTTAATGCAGTTTGTCTATCATCTATCATCAAATCAAGTCTGATTGCTTTCCACGTTTAGATAATTGACACCTAATTTTATTTACTTATAATTTAAGCTTAAGAATTTTTTTTTAAAACTTTATTGAGAAAAAAAAAATTGTGAGATAATTTTAAGTGTGAAAAAAATTTTTAATCCAAAAAAAATTTTTAAAATTTTAAAGTTAGAATTTTTTTTTCACTTTAAAAAAAATTCAGGAAAAATTTTTATCAATTAATCTTAATTTTTTTTCACAATTTTCCAGTAAATTTATAAATTTATTATTCAAATAATTTTTGTCACAAAAAATTTCTTCTCGCTATAAAAAAAATAATTTTAATAAAGTAAACTTTTTTTCCGTACAAAAAATTGCACCGTAAAAAATTTTGCGTTAAAAAATTTTATGTTAAATATTTAACACAATAAATGTTAAATTTACATAAAAAAGTGTTAAATATTCAACACAAAATTTTTTACTGTGTGTAAAATTTTCACAAATTTAATTAAAATATTAAATTCACATTTAAATATTTAAAAAAATAAAACACTAACTATTATTCCACAAAATTTCTAATCACCATGAATAAATCCGATCACTAATCCGTCGGTAACACTCAGCACTTTTATTTCCTTAAATAATTATTTTAAATTAATTATAAATAAAAATAAAAGCACAATTAGTACTCGAATTTTATCACAAAGCCTTGTAATAAAAATGGTAATAAATCAGCGACATTTGTGATGTCAATGACGTACTAGATAAATAAATCTGAGGCAACATGTACACGTACTTTATTTTTAGCGTTCACCCATAACGTATAAATATCTACATACGTTATTTTATTTCGGGTACTCTTGAATAACGAGTAAAGAGTAACGATCACCGGATGCTGGATATTCATATTTCTATTGTACTCATTTTGTTCTCATAACAATTTACATATTTACCATCATTATTATTTATAATACTTGAGTTTTAAACTGACATTTGATATCTCATAAACAAAATAATTGTACGAGTCACAATCGCGACTGACAGTACTCGACTCGTTTTGTGTTTTACGTCTTTTGTCACACGATTGTGGATATATATCGTCGCACCTGTCATCCTTATTCTTATCCACGACACATACAATCACTTTTCAAATAATTTACATTTACAGTACTTTAATTGTAACAAAATACAATAGTTAGAGTATAAAATAAACAATTAATACTATACTACTATTTTTTTCTTTATAACAATTTTCGTTATTATTATTATTATAATTATCAATAGAAGTTACAAGTGTCTCTATGTTTGAATCTACGCCTGAGTAAAATGTCGAGTTTAATGTTTACTACATCAGTGTCGCATGAGGTCACTCTAATCTATGTTGATAAAAACACGTCCGATTATTATAGAAATTTTTAATAAAAATACGCGCACGTGTTCGAAAATCTTTTTATTTATTTTAGAACACTTTTTTAGTCAAGAAAATTAGTAAAAAGTTATATTTAACAATTTATAAGTATGAATTTTGTCAATAATTAATTACTGAGAAATTGTAGTTACATATTTAAATAAATTTTAAATATTCACACATCAATTGTCACTTTTAAATTATTTAAAAATTAGTTATAAACTACTTTATAAATTTACACTTATTTGTCACTTTGTTTTGAAGTAAAATTGTACAAGAAATTTTTTAATTAATAATTTACACTTTAAATTGTCACTTTTATAATAAATATATTTTTGAATAATTTAAAGATCAGTTTTGAAATTTTCAATAAATTTTAATTTTAAAATTATTGACTTCAAAATTTACACTTAAAATCACTGTTTTAAATCAAGTATTTTCAATTTTTTAAAATATTAATCATGGAATTTCTTGTACATAAATTTAAACTTTAAAGATTCTAAAAATTAAAAATTCACATTTATAAATGTCACTGTTTTATAATAAATATATTTTTGAATGATTTAAAGGTCAGTTTTCAAATTTTCAGACTATTTTTATTTTAAAAATATTGACTTTAAAATTTACACTTAAAATCACTGTTTTAAAATAAATTTTTTTGATAATTAAAAATATTAATCATGAAATTTCTTGTACATAAATTTAAACTTTAAAAATTCTAAAAATTGACTTTAAAATTCACACTTAAAAATGTCACTTGCTCAAAATAAATGTCAATATATTTTAAAAAATGCACAAATTTCAGAATTTCATTAAAAATGAATATTTTAAAAAATTAATCATGAAATTTTTTGTACATAAATTTAAACTTTAAAAATTCTAAAAATTGACTTTAAAATTCACACTTAAAAATGTCACTTGCTCAAAAAAAATGTCAACATATTTTTAAAAAATGCACAAATTAGAATTTTACAAAAACAATTATGATTTTTTACGAAAAAACAATGATTACTTTCACTGTAGAGTAATTTGTGAATGGAATGAGTGTGAATGCGACGATAAGGATTAGGATGAAGATTCCTACTATCTAAAGAGATAAATATAAAATATATAAAAGGTCCACCGACTAACCTGCAGTATGTATCCTCGGGAGTAATCCTCGTGTGTCCAGCCGAAAGCGGCTAGCAGTCGTGTCACTTTCGCGTTGGGCAACTGGTTAAACAACAGATCGAGCAAAATCTTAAGTCGAATGGGTAGCGCGCGTGAGCCGTAAAGGACGAGGGATGCGACGTCAAACACGGCCGTCGGCTCGACAGTCTCTGAAGCCGGTGGACTCTCCTCCTTCTCCGCGACCTCAAGAGTGTCCCCACCATCGTGGCCACCACCACCCGGGCAGTCACCGTCACCGTTTCCACCTCCACCGGAGTCAACCTCTACCCTCCCTCTGGCGCTTTTGTCCTCCCTTCCAGGACATCGTGGGCTGGTGGCGACATCCCCTCCACTTTCCGCCGCGCGGGCTGAGGCTACGTCTCGAGGACTTGTCGGCGGCCGCTGGAGGCTTGACAGTCGCGCGAGCGCTGCAACATGTTCAGATATTTTCATTTTATTTATTTATATTTACAGTTGGGTGGTCAATTATTTATTTTATTATTGAGACATCAAGTAATTATCGATTGATTAATAATTGGGACTTGGGTGGTGGAAAAAAGTCGATAATTCATGACAGAAATTATTATTGATAGGCTTATGAACAATTTTATGCTGTACAAGAAGAAAATTTTTATAGAATTAATAATTTTTTTGCTTGATTGAAGACAATTAAATAAATTGAAATGATTTTTTTTTTGTAGGTAAAAAAATTGATTTAATTTTAAAGAGAAAATTTTTAATACAATAAATTTTTTTTTAATTAATAAAATAATTAATTTAATTTTAAAAAGGAAACTTTGAATAAAAAAATTTATTTTAAAGAATTTATCTTGAAATAAGAAAATAAAATTTTAAAACTGAGAAATTTTTATATATTTAATTTAAAACAATTTTTTAAAATGATTTTCTTATGGATAAAATAATTAATTTAATTAAGAATTAATATGATTAAAAAATTTTTTTTTATTATTCAAGACTAAGAAATTAATTAAAATTAATTTTTTAACTTCAAAAATTTTGTCGCTTGATTCAAAGTCATGAAAATTTGTGAAATAATTAATTAATTTAAAATTTCTTGTCCTTATTCTTATATCAGTGAATAATTATACACCTTCTAGGACTAATTTTTATTTAAACAATTGTTTTTTCAGTAATTACATATTTTTAAAAAATTGTCCTGCTAATAAGATTTGTTAAAAAATTAAATTTTTAAATAAATAAATCAATCATTGACAGCGAAGAAATCGCAATCAAGTTCGCATATAAATAAAAACATAAAGACAGGTGTTGTCTCTCTCTTGCATCTTCGTCATGCAGTGAAGTGTGTAGTGAATAGTGTAGAATGGGCAAGTCTGACTACTACGAGCGCTTCTACTAGGTATTACTACTTACTACTACTACTGGACTCGCGGATCCCCACCCAGCCGCCCCCGCGTGGAGATCGCCCCACTACCGAGTCACCTGCTACACTTTGCACCCATCTAACGTTAATACACCTAACCGGACAAATTATATTATAAATATTACTTATTTTATACTTCAAATTGTATATCATATCAAGGGAGGCTCTATTTGTCTAGTATCAACTTTCGGAGTACAATGACTTTCATATCTGCTTTAAATAGTCGGTAATTATTTAGGATATTATTAAGGCAACTAGGGGAAATTTTTTTAGGAAAAAAGATAATAAAATTGATTTTTTATTGAAAATTAAGAATTACGATTTAATTAGGATAATTATTATAGTGCAGACTATAATCCTTGTGGTGAAACTTTGTAAAATTGTGTTTGATTTACTTTTAATATAAAGTGTTTGCACGTAACCTACTGCCTCTAGCGGATTTTTTTACAACTATCTCTGATATAGACCCTTTAGATACATACATAAAAAATTTTCTATTTATAATATACTAGCAACCATTGCAGTCACTATGTGACTGCCGTGACTTGTGAATTATAAATAAATAAAATTTTGCTTTATTAAATAATGACTTTTGTTAAATTGCACTGTACTATGTTAACTATTGAGGTTTTTAAAGATATAAACTCAGCCCGATGTTACACTCATCAAGAGTTTTCATTTGAGTACCCACATACATTTTGATATATTTTTCATATATACATATATATAATATATATAAATTTATGAAAAATTGATGTGGGTAGTCAAATGAAAGGTCTTGATGAGTGTAATGTCGGGATGAGCTTATATCTTTATAAATGTCAATAGCTTACGAGATACAAGGTCATTTCTTAATTATGTATCTAGAGATAGAGCATTTTTGAATGCAGCCTAAATACTTATCATCATTAATTGACTATTGGTGAAAATGATATGAAACCATAAAAAGGGACAACTCCAGGTCAAGACTTTTCCAAGAAAAATATTGTTTGCCAAACAATTTTTTTTCTCACATATTGGTCCACAAATAATTGCTCATTACTGTTCCTATATATGTGATATCCTTTTTTATGCTTTACATATGGCCATAAAAATATTTTTTCTTCACCTAATACTTTTTTCTTGATTTAATAAACGGTATTTAAACGACCTTGACTAACGATCGCGGATAAACCAAAATGATAATAAAGAAAGCGCTTTCCCGTGATGATGGTCACGCTTTTCGCTCGGAACAAGATTGTATCGTCCTACCATGCCCATATTATATTAATTCCGTTCCATTCCGCTCCGCGAAACTCGCTCGTTCCTTATTAGTATTTATTTATTATTTCACTAATAATCTCGTCCATACATACATACATACATACATACATACATACCAACATTTAATTCCACAATACTCTATATCCATATCCACAGTAGCGGACTAGTTGCGGCTCGCACATCACATGCTACAGATAATCTTCCTTTTATGTTTTATTTATCCGTGTCTTGTGTCTTGCGTTAATGTTAATGTTCGAGAAAGTTTCAGAGATATATCCGTCAGCATCGTGAGTCGCGATCCGCGATATTCGGAGTAGCAACGCAGAAAACGAGTTTACTTCTCTTATCTTTTTTTTTTTTTTTTCTCTAAGTCTTCCTTTTGCTCGTATCGTCATTAATGGCAGTGTGTTGTTCGATCGATACTACACGACCTCACTTGTGTTACATATAATATATATAGTATATATAGACACTAATACAATACAATAAAGTTCCAATACTAATTTAAGAGCCGGCGTGTCTAACACGAGCGAGATCGTCTCTAGTGGCCGCTTTTATTGTCATAATGTATACGATCCTCGACGGGAGATCTTCCCAAATATCATTATATATATATATATATGTATATATTTATACCTGTACAGCGATGTTAATGTATATTTATCTCTGTTGTATTTGGGACTGTCCAGCTCGGCCTCTCACCTCTCCCGACGCTTTGTCTCCCTTTCACTCCTCCTTCAGTCCAGCAATATTCGGTATACGAGTATCCTTTGTATTTCGTATTTTGTATTATCTTTTGTATTGTATTCTTCGTTTTCATTACCGAGTGTCTGCCGGAGACGCAATAACTCGAATAATCGTACCGAGTGAATAGAAATCATACAGTCATCCCGATTGGGCGCCACTTGTCATTAATGACTTGAACATTTTTCGATTTAATTAAAGACCGATGACCATCCTTCCTTCTCAGTCTCGCTCCGAAAAAATAATCTTTTTTTATTATTTTTTGTTTTGTTCTATTGTTATTGTTTTTGTTATTGTTTTATATTTGTGTAAGTTTTGTGAATTGAATTATTTTTTTTCGAATTAATTATGCTGAAAAGTTACATACAAACTGATGAAATTGAATAAAAATTTTTTTTGAAACTAATTTAATTTTTGAAGTCACTTTTTTTGAAATAAAAAAAAAATAAAATTTTGATCTTTGAAAAAATTTATTTAAATAATTTAAAAAGAAAAAAATTCCAATTTTTTTAATTATAAAATTAATATTTTTGGTAAAACTATTTTTTTTTAATTATTCAATTTTTGATGAAGTAGAAAAAAAAATTATTTAATGCAATTATACACAATTATAAATACAATCTTTTTTTAAGACTAATTAAATTTTTCAGGTCACTTTTTTTTAAATAAAAAAAAATTTTTTTGATACTCTAAAAAAATTTCTTCAAGTAATTAAAAAAAAAAAAAATTCCATATTTTTAATTGTGAAATTAATATTTTTGGTGAAACTATTTTTTTTAATTATTTAATTGTTGATAAAGTTGAAAAAAAATTTTTTAAATGTTATTTTTATATTATAAAAAATTTTTAACATTTTTCCTTTTAATTATTTTCCTATCACCACAAAAATACCGGTAGAAAAAAAAATTAAAACATACCTCGGAGACAAAAGCGTGTTTTGTACGGATTAACAGCTCCGGATTAAAAAATTTTGTTTCTCCGCAGCGTAATAAACAAATAGGATTATAACCGGTGGTTGTTCACCCTCTGTCATTTAGCGGATTGCCCTCTGCTGGCAGCTCGGGTGTAGTTTTTCCTCGGTTATTTTATTCGGGAAATATTTTTTATTTATTTTTCCACCCGTTCCGTGCTGAGCGTGTATGGTTTCAATGAATTCATGTTTACCAGATACATCGAGTTAGCCGTCATGCACTGCTGCCATTTTCCGGGGAAAAACAAACCCACTTTTTTTGGTTGTTTTTCGTGTGTGCTTTAAATTTAAAAAATACGGTCGCGCAGATGACGCTCTAGGGAAGCTGTGTATCGGATTTGCAGCCCTTGCCGCGTCAATATTTCGATGAATCCTGTTATTTTCAATGGAAGTTTGCTCAACGATAAACAATATTTTCATCCCGTTTTACATACATATTTTCACGAGCTTGTGGTTCGCGTTACACGTCAGCCAATTAATTAACTCGTTATTGATAAATACTTCTTTTTTCTATTGAAAAATTCATAGCATTTTTGTTGAAAAATATTCTCGCTAATTGACAGACTTGACTGAAAATTGCGTGGGGAGAATAGGAAATTTTTTCAGTGTAGAATAGCAATTATTATTATTATTATTATTATTATTATTATTACATAATAACGAGAATTTTTTAGCGATGAGAGATACTTGACAGAATAATTTTCACAACTTTTGACACTGATTTAGACTGTAAAAAAAATTCTAATCATTGTTTTTTAATTTTTGTTGAATTTAAGTCATTATTAATCGAAAAAAAATTTTTTTAATAAATTATCGCAATAATTACTCAACAGGCTTTTATTAAAAAAATTTTTTTTTCATTTTAATTTTAAAAATATTCAGAAAAAAAATATCTTGACTAAAAAGAAGTGAAATTGGCTCAATAAAATTCTTTCTTGCCAAAAAACAAATTTAGCTTTTGCTAAAAATTTTCTTAGTTTAAAAATATCTTTTTTTTTCTGTATAAATATTAAAATTTATTTTTCTTCTTTAAAAATAAAAAATAAAAGACCGAGTATAAATAAGCCTTTAAGTTTGTGACGCTCCGATGGCATTGTAACAGCTCACAAAAGGTAAACTACAAACTAATGAAAGTTTTGAATATCCAAAAACTGAAGAGGGATATATATCGCTAGCAAACGCCAGCTATCTGTCACCATAGCTTATACACCGAGAAGAAAAGCGCATTTGTCCTTTTTGTCCGGTTATTGTTAATGTCAGCGCATAATGAAAAATATATAATGTAAAATAGTACCTCTGGGACTATCCGATTTCAACGCAGGCGCCATTTCTCTTTTGTCCTTAATGTCCCATTGTGTGAGAGAGGAGCATAGAGTAAAGACTATTGAAATAGGAAAAAAGCAACAGACCTACGACCCTTGTCAACCCAGTCACGGTCCTCCCGCGATTTTGCGCGCAATTCCATCGGAGAACAATGTTCTGCACCTGCCACGCGTATTTTTCTATTCCGGAACAATACCAGTGTGAAATAAAACAATGATCAAAGTTTAGATGAATACAATCAGGATATCTTTTTGATACTCATCCTCAAATTTTCTTGTTTTTTTCACGATCACAATTTGAAGACGCCGCTAATTATAAAAGTATCATTTGTAAAAAAACAAACCCGAGAGTTTTTCGTCACCCTTCTTACCCGAAGATGAACAGTCAAGAAGAGTCCCACCCTTGAATTTATTTTATTATTATCGATCCCATTTTTCGAAATCACGCAAGAATAAAAGAATAGATTTGTTTTTTTTGTCAGCTATACTTTCGATGGTGCGTGTCATGTCATTTTGGGCTATTTATCACCTTGAGGTAGAGACGAGCAATTAAATTAAAACAAATTGACAAAATAAAATTATGATGATTAGTGATAATTTTTAATAAAATTATTTTTATAAAAAAAGTTTTGAATTTAAATTTAAAATTAAATATTTATTCCAATTAGGATTGTGTGATAATTGTTGTTGTTGTGATTCTTCGGCTAAAATGTATCTTAAAATGAGGGTGTAATTTTGTGATTGTAATTATTGAGCGTGATTTAGAGACTAACTTTACTAACTTGACTAAATGGTAAATAATAACTAAATGGATAAAGCGAATATTGAGGAACAAAGACATTACGGGATGTAACTGCTATCGAGCCTGGTAAGTAACACCGAGAGTTTGCACAGCACGGCAAACAGGGTGCTGAGGGCGGACGGGAAGAGGTAGAGAAGAAAGGGAGAAGGGAGAAGGGAGAAAGGGCGAGAGTAAATGGTATGTAAACTGTGTCGGTGTACTTGGTATGTACCCCTGTGACCCTCGGTACTCTGTGCTCCGACTGCTCGGCAAACTCCATTAAAACATTAGGCACGTTCCAATGCCCTCGGAAAATCAGATTCGGGAGCCCGGTTCCGCCAAACTAAACTATGATAACAGCCATTATAATAACACGCGGAATTGTATAAGTAGATTCTTGTACTTTGATGGGCCTAATTCCACCACGATGGTTGGCTTGTGCGTATTGATTTTGATGGTTAGTAGATTAAATATTGTAGAGTGGGTTATCAAGATAAATTTTAATTGGTGATATTAGAAATAAGGTGTTTATTTTAATTGTATTAATTTTAGACAAAATTTTTTTTGTTTACTTCAAATTTATATAAATATGGTAAAAAAAAAAATTAAAAATAATTACTGGGTTAGTTTTTTTTTTAAATATAAAAAAACTACCTTTTTTTTAGCAATTAAAGTGATAAATATATGGCTAAAAAATTTTTTTCGTAAATATTTATAATTTAAATTTAAGTTTGAATTTGAAAGTCTAAAAACTATTTATTTATTTTTCTATGATAATATATTTAATAAAAATTGAAGGTCCTCTTCGACAAGACTCGAAAGTTTTATCGGTGAAGTAGAGTCCATTGTAAATTGTAACCGAATGTCAAATATATAATATTTAATATTTATTTATTTATTTAAACGATTAGAAAATCCAGCGATTAGGCGACAGTAAAGTTTCGTCAGATCCCCGGTAAAATATTTAAGATAAACATTAATATTTTTTCCGTCGTAAAATTAGTCACGTATAAAAAAGCGACAGCGATTACGTAGGAATCTTAAATATTTAAAGCCAGGTATAAATGAAAATAGACACACGTGTGTAAAAAACAAAATATTACGTGTGTGAGAGAGCTGGAGAAGGGTGAGAAAGAGTCCGAGATGACACGACTGTATCATGTCGCGTGACGTTTTGGGT